ATTAAACTAAAATTCCAGAAATTAGAACTTATGAAAACATAGAAATTTGGAAAACTAGAAAATTTGAAAAAAAAATGTCAAATTTTGAAAATTTTTGTGACTGTTATACAAATTATTTAAGTGTTGAAAACTTTTCAAGATTAAATCTTTTTCTATTACTTATGAAAACATGAAAAAAAGTTTGAGAAATTGCAAAGTTTGAAAATTAAAATGCAGTGTTAGAGAGTTTGAGAAATTAGAAAGTTTTGAAAAGTTGAAAAAGTTCAAAAAATGAAAGATTTGGAAAAATACAAACATATGAAAACTTGTAAGTTCAAGAAATTGGATAGTTGGGAGAAATGAAAAACATGTGAAAATGGTAGAGAAATGCAAAACATGTGAAAATGGTAGAGAAATGCAAAACATGTGGAAATGGTAGCTGAACATTTTATTAAAGTTATTTCATTATATAAATCATCGAAAACTTTTCAAACATCAAAAAAGTTTAAGATATTGGGAAGTTTTAGAATTAAAGTAAAATGTAAAAATGTTTGAGAAACTGGAGAGTTTGAAAACTTGATTAAAGTCAAGGAAGTTTAAAAATTTTATTGTAAGTGAAATGTAAAAAAAAATTATGAAATTGGAAAAAGTAAAATGTCAAAAAAAGTTGAAAAGTCTGGAGGACTACGCAAAATGCAAAATAAGTGCACTTATCAACTTATGTGGCGTGTAAAGAAACATATTTGAAAAAACTTGGAAAATGTTTAAGAGTTTGGAGAGTTTTAAAATTAAAGTGAAATTCAAAAAAGAGTAAGTTAGAAAGTTATAAGTTGAAAAAATTTTAAAATTAAAGTGAAATTCAAAAAAGAGTAAGTTAGAAAGTTATAAGTTGAAAAAATTTTGAGAAATTAGTGAGTATGAAAATTAAAGTGAAATCTCGTAAGTTAGAAAGTTATAAGTTGAAAAAATTTTGAGAAATTAGTGAGTATGAAAATTAAAGTGAAATCTCAAAAAAGTTTTAAGTTAAGAAAGTTGTAAGCTAAAAAAAAGTTTGAGAAATTGGAAAGTATAAAACTTAAAGTGAAATCTCAAGAAACTTCGAGAAATTGGCAAGTTATGAGAAATTTCTTTAAAATTGAGAAAATGGAAAGCTTAAAAAATGTAAACATGTTAAAATGTATTTGAAAATATGTGAAAGATATATTAACTTTCCAAGATTAACTTTATTTATAAACTACAAAAACTTAATAAAAGGTTATAATATTGGAAAGTTTTTGAAAACTTGAAAAAAGTTTGAAAAAATGTGAACATGCGAAAATGGTATTTAAAATTTACTAAAAGTAAATTTTTTATATAAAATATTAAGAACTTTTTGAAATAAGAAATTTTAAGGTAAACGTGAAATGCCAAAACAGTTTTAAATTTTTTTAAACTTGAAAAAAGTTTGGAAAAATATGAACATGTGAAAATAGTATTTTTAACTTTTGTGAAAGTAAATTTTTTATTTAAAATATTAAAAAGTTTTCAAAATAGGAAATTTTAAAGTAAAAGTGAAATGCCAAAAAAGTTTTGAGAATTTCAAAAGTTTATCAAAACTTGAAAAAAGTTTGAAATTTTGGATAGTAAGAAAACTAAAGCAGATTGTCAAAAGAGTTTGGAAAATTGAAAAGATTTGAAAACTTCAAAAAAGTTTGGAAATAAAGGAAAGTTCGGAAAAAGAAAAGTAAACATATGAAAATGATATTAGAAAACTTTGGAAAATAACTTCATAATTAATCCGTTGAAAACATTTTAAACATTATAATATTGTAAAATGAGTAATCAGCTGAATACTTTTTGAAATTAGAATATTCTAAAATATCAAAAAAATGTTTAAGAAATTAGAAAACTTCAAAATTAAAGGGAAATGACAAAAGTTTTGAAAATTTGATAAAAGTGTAATAAACTAGAAATTTTGGAGAACTAAGAAAATTGCAAAACAAGTGGACAAATGTCAAAGCAAAAAAAAGGTCATTTATAAAAAACTTGTAAACTTATAATATCATGAAAATTTTTTAAGAAATTGGAAAGTTTGAAAATTAAAGTGGAATTCAAAAAATATTGAGAAAGGGAAATATATGCAAACTTGAATGTTTGAAAATTGGAAAGTTCAAAAAAAATGTATAACAAGTTTCAAATTTGAAATTTTTTAAAAGTTATAATATAAATTTATAATTTAAACAGCAAAAAACCTTTCAAACTTGAAATTTATAATTTAAACTGATAAAAACCTTTCAAACTTGAAAAGGTTTGACAAACCAGAAAGTCTGAAAAATTGGATAAATTGAAATGTCAAAAAAGTTTTGAAAATTTTATTAGTTTTAAAATTAAAGTGAAATGTCAAAAAAGTTGGAGAAATTGGAAAGTTTGAGAAACTGGAAAATTTATAACATAAAAGTGAAATGTTAAAAAAAATGGAGATGTTGGAGAACTAAGCCAAACCAAAAACAAGTTTATGTCATAGATTTAAAAGAAGAAACTTGAAAAAGATTTAAAAAGCTTGAGAAATTGGAAGTTTTAAAATTAAAGTGAACTCTCAAAAAGGTTGAAAAATTAAAAAGTTATGAGAACTTGAACGAGGTTTGAGAAATTGGAAAGTTTGGAAAAGATGTAAACATGTGAAAACGGCATTTCAAAATTTGTGAAAGTTATATTAATCAATTAAAACATAGAAAACTTTTTCAAAATTAAGACTTTTCATATGAAATTTTGAAAGAAGTTTGAGAAATTGGAAAGCTTGAAAATTAAAGCAAAATGTCAAAGAAGTTTGAGAAATTGGAAAGTTCTGAGAACTTGAAAAAAAATTTAAAATTGTTAGTTATTTTATTATTTAAACTGTTAAAAACTTTTTGTAAGTGGAAATTTTTAAAGTGAAATGTCAAAAACGTTTGAGAAATTGGAAACTTATGAAAATTCTGAAAGTTTGGAAACTAAAGTGAATTGTCCAAAAGTTTAGTAATTGGGAAGTTTAAAATTTGAAAAAACGCTTAATAAATTGAAAAGTTTGGAGCAATAGGCGAAATAAAAAAAAACAATCAACTTATGTCAAAATGAAAATAAAAAAGAAATTTTAAAAAAAATTAAAGTTATACAAACTTGAAAAAAGTTTGAAAATTTGGAAAGTTATGAAAACTTAAAAGATTGAGAAATTAGGAAGTTTAAGATGTAAACATGTGAAAATAATATTTGAAAATTTTGGTGAAAGTTATGTTAATTATTTAAACTGGTGAAAACTTTTCAAACTTAAGACCTTTCTATAAAATATAAAAGCTTGAAAATAATCTGAGATTGGAAAGTTATGAAAACTTGAAAAAAATTTGGATAAATTGGAAAGTTATGAGAACTTGAACAATGTTCGTGAAATTGGAATGTTTAAAAGAAATGTAAACATGTGAAATTGCATTCGAAAATTAGTAAAATTCAAAAACAAAACAGCAAAACAAATTAAAAAAAATTGATTACATGAAAATGAAAATAATACTTATTTATAAATTTGAAAAGACATGAATAGTATTTTAGATAATATTGTAATGAATAATTCGTGAGGAAACAATATTGGAAGATCATTTATAGATTAAATGTAAACCAAGCAACCATTTCGTGAGGAAACAATATTGGAAGATCATTTATAGATTAAATGTAAACCAAGCAACCATGCAGTATGGAAAGATGGTGAAAAAGATCATTTATAGATTAAATGTAAACCAAGCAACCATGCAGTATGGAAAGATGGTGAAAAATCATCGAGAGACAACACAGACACTAAACAGCAGTTAGAAAATGCAAAAAAAATATAAAAAGTGAAAAATGCCATTGGAAATCTTGAAACTTCTAAGGAATTTGCATGATACAGTAGTGCATAGTTTAAATTAGTTCGAAAGCATATGGAAGAATGAAATAACTTTTCATGAGATTATGAAGAAAGAAAGGCCACAGATTTGAAGACTTCTAACAATTACAGAAATGAAAAGTATAATAAACTGAAATGATAATTAGAAAAAATCATAAGTATTGGATATTATAGTAAGATTCCCTTAACATTTGTTGAAACTTGGAACTTTTGAAAACTTTTCAAAATCAAAACTTCTTTTACGTTCAAAAAACACTAACTAAAGAAATGCAAAAGTTAAAAAACATGTTAAGCGAAAAGTGCTATTTGAAAACTAGAGAAGTTTGAAAGATATTTCAACAGAACATCATTTCAAAACCATAGAACAGCGTCATTAAGCAACCTGATTGAAATTTTCAAACTTCCAAAGTTTCAATAAGAAGTTAAAAGTAAATTTTGAACATATTTCAAAATGATAACTTCTTTAGGGACAAAAGAATAAAAGAACAAAACAAAATAGCAAAACAAGCTAAAACTGCTAATACGCGAAAAATAAAATATTTCAAAACATGAAATTTTAAAAAGGAATGTAACGGATAGCAAGGTTCCATTGAACTAAACTTTTTTAAAACTCTAACTACTTAAAACTTGAAAAGATAAATAAAATATGAAAATTAAATGAAATAAAGAACAAGTCAAATTTTGTTAAAGTGAAAATTAATATCGGAAAACTTGAAAAGCTTGAAAACTAGAAAAATAAAACATTGTAAAGCTTGAGAACTCGAAAAGGTTGAAAACTATTTCAAATTTATAGTGAAATGACATTAAGTAAGCCATTGGAGATCTTAAGATAATTTTAACTATATAGTGAAATGTCATTACGTAAACCATTTGACATCTTAAATTTATTTTTAACTTTATGGTGAAATGTCATTAAGGCCAACTACAAACACATACGTTCATGAAACAATCATATACAGACAACGTGAATACAATAAATTAGCACCTTAAACATCCTAGCATATAACCATAATACCTGAATTAACTAGCATCACAAGGAAATTTGGACCGACTACAATTACATGAAAAAAGCAACTAAAAACCAAATATTAACATCAAAGACCTAAATCGACCAAGAATAAGTAGTAATAGCTACACAGAACAAGACGCATGCAAATCCTTTAATTAAAATAAAGAAAGATATATACACAGGAAAATATCCAATAAAGAAAGCAAGAATAAACTCACAATTACAACACCGCTTGGAGTCCTCCTACATCTGACCATTGACCATCAGCCCAAAAATCATCAAGTCGCAAACCAGAGACTCACATTTTGACCTAAAATTAGGAACAATTACTACAAAGAACAAACCCCAAAATGTCAAAACGATCAAATAAAGCAAGCATCTTACCGATCAGGACGCTTAATCTCCTTCTACTTCTGGCCGTCGAGCATCAGACCAAAAATTGTAAAGCTTGAGAACTCGAAAAGGTTGTAAACTTTTTCAAATTTATAGTGAAATGACATTAAGTAAGCCATTGGAGATCTTAAGATAATTTTAACTATATAGTGAAATGTCATTACATAAACTATTTGACATCTTAAATTTATTTTTAACTTTATGGTGAAATGTCATTAAGGCCAACTACAAAGACATATGTTCATGAAACAATCATATACAGACAACGTGAATACAAGAAATTAGCACCTTAAACATCCTAGCATATAACCATAATACCTTAATTAACTAGCATCACAAGGAAATTTGGACCGACTACAATTACATGAAAAGAGCAACTAAAAACCAAATATTAACATCAAAGACCTAGATCGACTGAGAATAAGTAGTAATAGCTACACAGAACAAGACCCATGCAAATCCTTTAATTAAAATAAAGAAAGATATATACACAGGAAAATATCCAATAAAGAAAGCAAGAATAAACTCACAATTACAACACCGCTTGGAGTCCTCCTCCTACATCTGACCTTTGACCATCAGCCCAAAAATCATCAAGTCACAAACCAGAGACTCACATTTTGACCTAAAATTAGGAACAATTACAACAAAGAACAAACCCCAAAATGTCAAAACGATCAAATAAAGCAAGCATCTTACCGATCAGGACGCTTAATCTCCTTCTACTTCTGGCCGTCGAGCATCAGACCAAAAATTGTAAACCTTGAGAACTCGAAAAGGTTGTAAACTATTTCAAATTTATAGTGAAATGACATTAAGTAAGTCATTGGAGATCTTAAGATAATTTTAACTATATAGTGAAATGTCATTACGTAAACTATTTGACATCTTAAATTTATTTTTAACTTTATGGTGAAATGTCATTAAGGCCAACTACAAAGACATATGTTCATGAAACAATCATATACAGACAACGTGAATACAAGAAATTAGCACCTTAAACATCCTAGCATATAACCATGATACCTGAATTAACTAGCATCACAAGGAAATTTGGACTGACTACAATTACATGAAAAGAGCAACTAAAAACCAAATATTAACATCAAAGACCTAGATCGACCGAGAATAAGTAGTAATAGCTACACAGAACAAGACCCATGCAAATCCTTTAATTAAAATAAAGAAAGATATATACACAGGAAAATATCCAATAAAGAAAGCAAGAATAAACTCACAATTACAACACCGCTTGGAGTCCTCCTCCTACATCTGACCATTGACCATCAGCCCAAAAATCATCAAGTCGCAAACCAGAGACTCACATTTTGACCTAAAATTAGGAACAATTACTACAAAGAACAAACCCCAAAATGTCAAAACGATCAAATAAAGCAAGCATCTTACCGATCAGGACGCTTAATCTCCTTCTACTTCTGGCCGTCGAGCATCAGACCAAAAATTGTAAAGCTTGAGAACTCGAAAAGGTTGAAAACTATTTCAAATTTATAGTGAAATGACATTAAGTAAGCCATTGGAGATCTTAAGATAATTTTAACTATATAGTGAAATGTCATTACGTAAACTATTTGACATCTTAAATTTATTTTTAACTTTATGGTGAAATGTCATTAAGGCCAACTACAAAGACATATGTTCATGAAACAATCATATACAGACAACGTGAATACAAGAAATTAGCACCTTAAACATCCTAGCATATAACCATAATACCTTAATTAACTAGCATCACAAGGAAATTTGGACCGACTACAATTACATGAAAAGAGCAACTAAAAACCAAATATTAACATCAAAGACCTAGATCGACCGAGAATAAGTAGTAATAGCTACACAGAACAAGACCCATGCAAATCCTTTAATTAAAATAAAGAAAGATATATACACAGGAAAATATCCAATAAAGAAAGCAAGAATAAACTCACAATTACAATACCGCTTGGAGTCCTCCTCCTACATCTGACCATTGACCATCAGCCCAAAAACCATCAAGTCGCAAACCAGAGACTCACATTTTGACCTAAAATTAGGAACAATTACTACAAAGAACAAACCCCAAAATGTCAAAACGATCAAATAAAGCAAGCATCTTACCGATCAGGACGCTTAATCTCCTTCTACTTCTGGCCGTCGAGCATCAGACCAAAAATTGTAAAGCTTGGATACTCGAAAAGGTTGAAAACTATTTCAAATTTATAGTGAAATGACATTAAGTAAGCCATTGGAGATCTTAAGATAATTTTAACTATATAGTGAAATGTCATTACGTAAACTATTTGACATCTTAAATTTATTTTTAACTTTATGGTGAAATGTCATTAAGGCCAACTACAAAGACATATGTTCATGAAACAATCATATACAGACAACGTGAATACAAGAAATTAGCACCTTAAACATCCTAGCATATAACCATAATACCTTAATTAACTAGCATCACAAGGAAATTTGGACCGACTACAATTACATGAAAAGAGCAACTAAAAACCAAATATTAACATCAAAGACCTAGATCGACCGAGAATAAGTAGTAATAGCTACACAGAACAAGACCCATGCAAATCCTTTAATTAAAATAAAGAAAGATATATACACAGGAAAATATCCAATAAAGAAAGCAAGAATAAACTCACAATTACAACACCGCTTGGAGTCCTCCTCCTACATCTGACCATTGACCATCAGCCCAAAAATCATCAAGTCGCAAACCAGAGACTCACATTTTGACCTAAAATTAGGAACAATTACTACAAAGAACAAACCCCAAAATGTCAAAACGATCAAATAAAGCAAGCATCTTACCGATCAGGACGCTTAATCTCCTTCTACTTCTGGCCGTCGAGCATCAGACCAAAAATCATGAGGACGTGATGATTTGACCCAAAATTAGCAGCAATGAGATCGGAGAACTACAGAGAGAGGAGATTAGGGTTTTCTCCGAGGGATCGGAGAGAAAGAAACGGGGAATTAGGGTTTTCTGAGAGAAGGGAGAGAGGGACATTTTCAGGAGCGGGTTTATTTTTGGCAGAGGATTTTTTCGGAATTAGGGTTTTTGAAGAACAATATGTATTTTATAGACCGCAGTTTAGCACCGACTCTAATCAGCCTCTCAACGGTAATATAATCGCACTAAGGAAACTATATCACGATCATCAGTTCTCTGACCGAGTCTCTGATCTAAATGGGTGGGAATTTTCCAATGATGAGTTTCAACGGAACTACACCAAATAAAGAAACGGCAGCTGTTAAATGGCGAAATATCAGAGACCCCCTCAAGTTTAGGGGTTAACAAAAAAACCTCTTTTAATTCTTAAGATTTTATCAAAAAACTCTCATAACAGCGGCTTACTGTAATTTTTCAGATGAATAGGTATAATTAAGATTTTATCAAAAAACTCTCATAACAGCGGCTTACTGTAATTTTTCAGATGAATAGGTATAAAATTAAGTAGCGGAATATATTTTCAGTAAAAGATATGGTTCACACTTTAAGAGATTTTTTTTAATAAAATCTTCAAGTTAAAAGGGATTTCATAATAACCCATAAACTTCAAGGGGTTTTATGATTTTGTAGAACATATGGGGTTTGATAAACGTTCAAAGTTAGGGGGTTTTATCATATTCAATCTGGTTAAATTACACTATAAATAGATTTTATTTGTCTTTTTCTTTTATGTGGCTCGCATGTGTGATTGTAACGTACATGTTAATTGGGTTTTTTCATATGACACAACTTTAAAATAGGGTCATTGTATAGAAATCATGTTTGATTAACAATTAACGCATAAACTAACTTTAAAGAAATTTTAATTATAATCAACCATTTGGGCTCACTTTTCAGTTAAATTTTCTCAGGTGGCCCATCTAACTTCCATTGAGGATTATCTTTCCAATGTAATTGGTACTTTTCAGCTAATTATTATGGCAAAACCGTAAAAGGATTTAGCTCAATAACGATTTTAGATGATTGATTGCAACATAAAGTCTTTTTAACAACCTAAGATGGTTTTTCTACAATGATCCTATTTCATGTTGTGCGCATCGAAAATTTCGGCAGAGTTTCTAGTGCACTATAAGAGAGAAAGATCAATAAGAATTCCTATCTCACTAAGGAAACAAGAATCTGAAGCAAATACCTCAACAAAGTGAGATATTGGCTCTTCCTCTCATCAGTTCTAGGACTGACTTGTCGAGGGATCCTCTCAACAAAGTGAGATATTGGCTCTTCCTCTCATCAGTTCTAGGACTGACTTGTCGAGGGATCCTAAAAACTATTACAATGGTCACAAACACAAACAAACTAATTTTACGTGGTTCGGCAAACCGTCTACGTCCACAGGGTAAGGAGGGGTGGATCTACTATTAGAGGGAGAGATACAACTAGGGTTTACAATTCATAATCTAAACCCTCAAACAAACTCTCAGATCCCTCACACAAATATCTCTCTCAAAAATACAAAAGGACTGTTTGCACGAAGCCAAAGAAAGTCGCTGCCTTTTTCTCTGCACAGCCGAAAAGCCTCTGTGTTTTCTCCTCACCAAGCCGACTTTCCCCTGGCACTTGCACGCCGCCTGCTTTCCGCACCCCTCACTTTTGCACCTTTTCTTTTGCTGCGTTTTGTCCAAAAAAACAAGCCCTGCTCTGTCGAAAACAACATAGCCGAAAAACCCTCTCCTTGCACGCCAACCTAGGGCACAGAGAATGTCCCTATTTATAGCAGAAACATGGATGCGGTTGTACATCGCACGGAAAATTCCAGGCCCACATTCGCTGTTCACGGTTTTCACGCACGTCACAAGCTGAAACAATTCTGCTTCCAGTCTCGTGGTCCCCACATGCTTTATTTCCTCTTCACGCGGTTTTCTTCACGTGATGTTCTTTCTTTGCTGCTCTCCCAGCCTTGGCCCCCACGCGTTGAAACAAACGCTATCCAACAATTCTTCACCTCGGTGAAGTTTTTCTAAAACTGAGCCGACACCAACCAAATTAAATGTCTCACTTGTTGCGTCGAGTATGAAGTAAAACAATTCACGATAACGGACTCAATCCACAACAAGTCGAGAACCCAAATGAGAATGAGAACACTCTCCAAATGTCGGTCCAAATCGATCTAACCCCCATCAAAATCCAACCCGGCTGCATCCTAAAGACTGCCTATGTATCCTCTTGCCCAAGGAATCAAGCCGAACGTAGTTCACCCAATGGCCTCCAAAGGCCTCAATCTACTAGAAGAGTTCGCAACCCTTCTCCAATATCATCAACTATGCGGCTGATAGCACCTCTAATGGCCTCAAACACCTCCACCTGAGGTGAACCAATGGCCATATCCAAACTATGTCTGCCAGCTGTACTCGAATCAAAATCCAACTCATCATCTGCATCTAAAACCAATTGATCCCGAAGCTGTGTCACCTCAGCTGGAATCTCAAATAATGCAGTATGATCTGGAGTAATTATTACCCAATATGGAGTAGCATCCCTCTTCACCCGCTGTGATACATCTAAGGTCTGTCTAAAACTCTCCACCTGATGAGAGTCAAATAGCTCCCTCATCGAAGCCTCAACCGAAGTGACACTACCAGACCAAACACCCAATTGAGTTTTACCTCCTATCATAGCAGTTAACAACTCTTTAGTAAGATGGCTCGAATATGTCGAAGCCTCAGTCCAGAAACTCTTCTGCAAACTATTGCTTGATAACAAACACCGATCCTCCTCCAGCAAGGCACGGTTCTCCAAAATTTATCACCCTATCTCGTTGCCGCAAGATTTCCTTTCCAATGAAGTGTCTCAAAATACTGTAAGCTCGGCTCTAATACAGAAACAGGTCCATCTTGTACCTCCCAACAAAATCAGAATGAAGTACCTTTACCTTTCTGTCTATCTTACACTTCTTCAAACTGTTAGAGACTACTAGGACTTTCTCCAATGGGAATTTGGTTGCAATCCAAACACACCTAGAACAGTCACCAACAAAGAAAACCAAACGCCTATTACCTCCCAATGATGCCCCCTTGGAAGGCCCCTAAACATCCACGTGAACTCCTCTAGAACGACCTTTAGCTCGGTGAATAGAGGTGCCAAACTTCACCTTGGTCTTCTTGCTCACATCAACATGTTCACTGGACTTTAAACAGCAGGTCTTCACACCCTCTTTCAATCTATACGAAGAATTAATACTAGAATGGCCAAGCCTCAAATGTCGCAGTCTAGTCGAATCAATAGAAGTCGCCAGTTCTCCACCTGCCACTATACCTCCAGTCAAGTAGTACAGGTTATTCCTCCTGACGCCCATCATTATAATCCGGGAGTCTTTTACAATCTTGAGAACCATGTCCTTAATTCGAACATTCAGACCTTCTCCAACCAAAGCTCCAATCGAGATCAAGTTCTTTCTCAAAGAAGGAACATATCTCACATCATTTAACTCCCTAACAGTCTCGTCAAACATTTTGATGCGAATTCTTCCTATACCAAGGATCTGGCATGCACGGTTGTCAGCCATGTACACAAAACCACTATCCAGCTTCTCAAAAATGGAGAATCATTCCCTTCTAGGGCACACATGATAGGTCGCATCACTATCCAACATCCACTCGAATTCCTCCGAATAGCTACATTTAGGACTAATAAAAAGTGAATAAATAGAAGAGTCAAAAATATTACCATCCGATATAACGATGTTTGCTTCAGATGATGGTTGCTTTCCTTTTCCCTTCTGCTTATTCTTCATCCATTCGTCGAGCTTTGGGCAGATAATTGTAGGATGTCCTACTCTAGACTGTGACTTCCAATTCTTCCGCTTTGGACCCTTCCCTCTTACGGCTAACGCCTCTGCTACCGACTCAGTTGAAATCTCCTTATCCTTCTTCCGAAGCTGATAATTCACCAGTGTAGCAGTGACCTCACTATACGAAAGAGATGCCTTCCCATTAATCAGAGTAAGGACGAAGGTCTCATATTCCTCGTCGGGCAAGGAACTCAACAACAGCAACGCCTTATCCTCATCTTCAATCATGACATCCACATTTGCCAAATCCGCAAGAAGCTTTGTGTAGGTGTTCATGTGATCACTAATTGAGGTTCCCTTCTTCAACTAGAAACGATAAAGTCTCCTCTTCAAATACAAGCGGTTCTTAACACTCTTTGTCAGATACTTGCTTTCGAGGATCTCCCAAATCTTCTTTACAGATGTCTCATTCATCACATCATATTTTATATCTTGAGTCAAACAAGACCTAATCACACCACACGCCGTTCGATTCATCTTCTTCCAAACCTTCTCTTCAATGTCATCTGGCTTGCCATCTAACTCCAAGGTATCTTTCAAATTATGCGCGTTCAGCGCATCCAAAACCTCGCATCTCCATAATCCAAAATTATTTGTGCCATTAAACTTCTCCACATCTATCTTCATAGATTGGATATTCAAACTCTGAATGGTCTTCGCGCCAGAAGCACCACCCTCAACACCCGAAGCACCTTCTTTCACTCTGAATGGTCTTCGCGCCAGAAGCACCACCCTCAACACCCGAAGCACCTTCTTTCCCCGACATCTTTCTTAACGCACCAATCGAATGAAGAATAGATCCAAAACTAAAAAGATAGAGTCTTTACCAAAAGATCCCACCTTTATCACCAAACGAAGCCCTAGACGAGCCTCCAAATTGATCTACTCCTCCAAATAGCTCAAGTGTAACCTGGCTCTGATACCACTTATTGTGTGCAGCGAAAATTTTGGTAGAGTTTCTGGTGCACTATAAGAGAGAAAGATCAATAAGAATTTCTGTCTCACCAAGGAAACAAGAATCTGAAGCGAATATCTCAACAAAGTGAGATATTGTCTCTTCCTCTCATCAGTTCTAGGACTGACTTGTCGAGGGATCCTAAAAACTATTACAATGGCCACAAACACAAACAAACTAATTTTACGTGGTTCGACAAACTGCCTACGTCCACGGGGCAAGGAGAGGGGATCTACTATTAGAGGGAGAGATACAACTAGGGTTTACAATCTCACAATCTAAACCCTCAAACAAACTCTCAGATCCCTCACATAAATATCTCTCTTAAGAGTATAAAAGGACTGTTTGCACGAAGCCAAAGAAAGCCGCTGCCTTTTTCTCTGCACAGCCAAAAAAGCCTTTGTGTTTTCTCCTCACCAAGCCCACTTTCCCCTGG